TTATATGTGTGGCAACATCCTTCCAATTCAAAGTTATGTTGTATCCCTCTTCATTTCAAGCAGCTCATTTCCGTTATATCAAATCTCTTGCCGCATAATAGCCCATGCTTCAAATTAAATCCATAGGTCCCAATCACCAATCTCTAAAATTCCCAAATCATTCCAAACTCTCCTCAAGGTGTGTGGTCATCCTACCACCAAGCGCATATGCAACTCCGCCACTCTTCCACTTTGGCGGAACTCACCCCTTTAATTGACTACTCGACCTTTGCTTCTTATACCTAGCCTTCTAGAAATTTAAACCACCGCCTGACACTCCCCACATGTCCTTCCTCATCCTTTGCCGCTCAGTTCTTGCCTTAAAAAAATCTATCTCTGTAACACTTGAACCCACAAATCTCTACTAACTTTAAACCTCTCCGAAGATCATTTTTTTCACAAGCCGTCAACATTAGAAACACCGATTCAATCCTGAACCACCGCACCCCGCGATATCTAACAGTCATTTCTCCAATATTATTTCACAATATCTTACCCCAAAGGCGAATTGCAGAAGACCATAACACCGACGAACTTAACACATTCAATCGCGGATGACGACACCACATCGCATATGAAAATCTCATCACGCTTGAAATCACCAAGTCTTTTTACTCCATCACTCCAAATCTGGACGTCCCTAGGCCAATTGCTTTTACTCTACAGGAAATGAAATATCAGATATCTGAATCGTACACTGAGTAGGCTTCCTTTCAAATCATTCACTGCCCCAATACATAGGCAAGTATTATGCTATCTAAGTCATTACTGTGAGATAACCAATTGTGAGCATCATAGTAACCTGTGCATAGCCTCCAAGCTCTTAAAAGCATAACTACCGAGACGAAACGATAGAAAAATCCTTCCGCAAGTCGGCGACAATAGCCCAATCAAGTATACTGGGAGAAACATCCCCCACCACGTCCGTAGTACCATTAGAATTCCTTAATTCTCGATTTATAACAAGCGATTCGCGTCGCGTAAGATTGAGTAGGAAGGAAACAAGGGCATAAGCCCCAATGGATCAAATCGCACGATGTGGAATCAAAAAGGGAAGTGCTCCTAACAGCCCTATAGCCTTTCAAAGATAAGTACAGACATCTCCGTACCGATCCACAAGACTCTACTAGACTCGCTCATGACTCATGACACTTAAGGGAACCTATTGCTCTGATACCATGTTGTCAGGACCCAAAATTCACTAAGGGTCGTGATGGCGTCGGACACCACTATCAGGCAAGCCAACAACAATTTACTAGCAATTTCTCATATTATTTATTCTGAAATCATTTTCTTTAAACAAATAAATAATAAATAATAAACTCCACTGAATAAATGAGGATGTCTTTACAACATTTTAATTACTGAAAAATCTCGTGATCATCCCAAAACCCGGTGTCACAAGTGCATGAGCATCTACTAGTGAATGAAATAAAATACAGTGACTGTCCGGAATACAAGTGGACAGAAATAAAAATAAAATACCATACTCTGAAGGAGACTCTGCTGGCTGTGGTCGTCTCGATAAATGCAACTCACCTAAGTCCCCGTGTCAACCATGCCGCTATGCCACTAAGCCACTAGCCACACATAAATATGTGCAACAAAAATGCACAACAAGTGTAGCATTAGTATGAAAACAACGTGTACCCAGTGAGTATCCCGTCTAATCTTGAAGAAGTAGAGACGAGAGGTTGACTTTGACACTTACTAGTGGTCCAATAATAATATATTATTAATGTGAGTAATCATAGATTTATTAAGAATGGCAGTAATTTTAAATAAGCCACGAACAAGTAAAAGTTCCTTTTTGTATTAAAAATCTCCGGATTCATAATCTATTAATTTTCAATTATCTCAAGTCAGGGAGAGAAAATATCAATCTCCATAAATCTCAAGGCAAGCAATACAAGCATGCACAAATCATGCCGAGGACGTACGACCCGATCCAACAATATTTAAATTGTGCACTGCCAGAGGGTCGAATGGTGCGAACCGTAGATGCATCTATTTAATCTACCGAGTCTTTCGGCCCGCTACAAAATTAAACACATATAGACAGTCAATCAAGAAGTCATCATGGAACAATTATCCAAGGAAAAGCACATTCTCTTTTAACAATTTTATAAAAAAGAAGTTTAATCCTTTTAGAAATTCATTTACATATTCGATAGGATTTAAGCAATTCATCTATCAAGAAGTTTACAAATATTCCAAGTATAGCATGCTTTTGGATCCTAGACTACTCGGACTTACACATAATAGTAGCTACGCACGGACTCTCGTCACCTCGTGCGTACGCAGCCCCCACAAATAGGAGCACATAACCAATTATTTCACCTATGGGGATAATTCCCTCTTACATGGTTAGAAAGGAGACTCACCTCACCCCGAAGATCCATAACCGGCATTCCACGCTCTTCCGAAGACTCGAATCGATGTTAAATTCTCCAAAACTAGACAATAATTTTGCAAATCCATTAATATATGTTCAATTACTCATTACAATCCAATTTATAACAATTCCTAACTCCAATCGAAAAGTTTACAAAATTGTCCTCGGGCCCACGTGCCCGGATTCCGAAATTTTTCGAAGATAAAGTTTACCCATAACCTCACAAAGTCAAATATATCATTTACTCTTAATTTCCTGCCCAAAACCGTGGTCAAAATCCAAGAATTCTAATTTTTTAGGTTTTCCCTCAAACCCCAAATTTTCCACTAATTTTCATGTTAAAATCTACACATAATCAGTGTATTTAAATCATAATAGGTAGGATTAACTTACCTCCAAGTTGCTAGGTGGAAGCCCCTCTCAAGAAGCTCCAAAATTTCCCCAAAGTAGAGAAAAATGGGTGAAATGAACTCAACCCCGCTTTTTAAAACATTCTGCCCAGTGACTTCCGCACCTGCGGACTCCTCGCCCCTTCTGCGAGTCTGCATCTGCGGAGCCCTCATCGCACCTATGCCAATCACCGCTTCTGTGGTCCTCCGCCTCGCTTCTGCTCTTGCGCAGATGCAGCCAATACCCCGCATCTGCGGTCCTTCCCTTGGCTGCCCCTTTCCGCTTCTGCGACTCCCAGGCCGTTTCTGCGGCTCCGCACCTGTGGCCACAACCTCGTAGGTGCGGTTACACCAGATACCAGCTACTGAAACCCTTCTTCAAACTCCACATTTAATCCGTTAACCATCCGAAATCCACCCAAGGCCCCTAGGACCCCATCCAATCACACCAACCACCCAAAATATATAATGGACTTGCTCCAGGCCTAAAATCATATCAAACAATGCTAAAATCATGAATCGACCTCCAATCCAAGCTTAATGAACTTTAGAATTTTAAACTTCTATATTCGATGCCAAAACATATCAAAACACGTTTAATTGATCTCAAATTTTGCACACAAGTCATATTTGACATTACGGACCTACTCCAACTTCTGGAATTGGAATCTGACCCCGATATCAAAAAGACCACTTCCGATCAAACTTCTCAAGAACCTTCAAATTTCTATCTTTAGCCAAATGACTCCAAAATGACCTACGGACCTCCGAATTCACTTTCGATCACGCTCCCAACACCAGAATCACCATATGGAGCTATTCCCAGACTCGGAAACCCAAATGGACATTGATAACCCTGAAATGCACTTCAATCCAAACTTATGAGATTCTTCAAAAATGCTAACTGCCACAATAGGCGCTAAAACGTTCCCAGATCTTCCAAAACCCAGTCCGGACATACGCCCAAGTCCGAAATCATCATACGAACCTGCTGGAACCTTCGAATCTCGATTCCGAGGTTGTTTACTCAAAAATCCAACCTTAGTCAATTCTTTTAACTTAAAGCTTCCGAAATGAGAATTCTCTTTCCAAGTCAACTCCGAACTTTTCGAAATTTAATTCTGACCATGTGCACAAGTCATAATACCTGAAGCGAAGCTGCTCATGGCCTCAAACTGCTGAACGACGCGCTAGAGCTCAAAACATCTGGTCGGGTCATTACAAAAAGCTTATCCAGGACAAAAAAAACTTTAGCTTATTTAGTGCTGAAGTTTTTATAAATGAACTAAATAACTTCAGCATCTTCTGCTGATGTTTTTGAAGAAGTTAAATGAAAAAACTAATGAATCTAGGACAAAAACACTTCAGCTTATTTAGTCCAATTACAAACAAAAACTTCAGCAAATAGAGGCAATTACAAACAAAAACTTCAGCAAATAGAGAACAAAACTTCAGCTACTATGTTTAAGTTTAGTAATTACAAACAAAAACTTCAGCAAATAGAGGCAATTACAAACAAAAACTTCAGCAAATAGAGAACAAAACTTCAGCTACTATGTTTAAGTTTAGTAATTACAAACAAAAACTTCAGCTACTATGCTTATGTTCAGCAATTACAAACAAAAACTTCAACACACTTGGTTCAGCACACTTGCTACATCAGGCCCGTCTACTAGAATGCTGAAGTTTTGCATGATTGCCTTTGCTAATTTAGCCCCATATGCTGAAGTTACGCGAAAAAGTGGGTACGCTTGCAAATTTTTTTTGTAAAGCGGGCACAAGTTAAAACGTGACCCAAAAGCAGGTATAGATACAAATCCCCCGAACTGTTGGGGCATGAGGTTTAATCTAGTGCCCCTTTGCTTCCACGGTTCATTTCAACTATGCCATAATCACAAGATATAATTTGTTTCTAATATTTCAAACCAAGAAAATTTTTATATAAATAATATATCATCTATAAATTAATATTTTCCACTTCTAGTGGGATAATTTTACCTATTGCAAAAAAAATATTGTACTTCCATAGTAGAAGCAAGGAAAACACACATCAAATGAGAAGATGTTGGATGCGTGGACAAGGAAGTGTCGATGCTAAACAGAGTTTCACACTAAGCATGGCAACAATGTAAGTCCCTTCTACTTCATGTGGCTTACAATGACCTCAAAATATTAGGTTTCCTCTGCTAAGACAGCGGCACTTGTTTTAGATGTTTTGTTCGGAAAATACATAAGCCAAACTAGAGCACAAAAATATAAACTAAGTCACCACAACAAGGAGATGACTGATCTAGGCCAACCCTGTACTACTAATAAGTAGCAAGAAAGGTCGAAGCAGCTTTTACACGAGAATGTCGGGATCGATTTCCACAGGGAGCTAGAGATTGGAGTTGAGTAAGATTTTCAAATACCTATAGCGGATATCAGTAGAAAGTAGTCCAATTTAACTCCAAGAACACATCCCATAACTAACTCAATCACAGATATGAATAAAAAGGGCAAACAGTAAAATGATCTCTCAAGTCAAAGCCACTAAGCACCTAAACTTCCAAATTAACCAGACATTTCAACTGTAGACCTACTCAAAAGTCATAAGCACAGGTAAAATTCCCCAAAATTTTACTTATGACATCTTAACCTTTTCCACCTGAACAAAAGACAAACCACACCAAAAAAAAGCTAGTTCCTCACTATGCATTTCTCTTAAATTAGCCTTATTTCATCAAATTATAAGACTATGAAAGACAAAGTACTCTATTTTTTTATGACAGTGGTGCCGGGCCATTTTGCGTGCAACTCGACTATTCCATCGGATACTGTTATCTTCCACCAGTATAGGAACCGGGTAACGCTTATCAATTCTTGGAAAGATGGGAAAAAATCACATAGATTTTTTGAGAAATTACTCCTATTTCTCAAGCTAAAACAATAATATGAACAAAATAATATAACATAACACAAAAAAATTACTAGGCATTTTATCACCATTTCCAAGAGAGACATCCAATTTAGGCTTCTGTTTCCTCCAAGCAGACGCAAATAAGTTTCCTGTACAAATCAAAATTCTCATCCTTCACTATCCCAAAAGTTACCAAATACTGCAAGAAAACATCAGGCGACTTCACATTCTCAACCCCTCCTCTTTCTTTAAGAAATTAAACATTAATAATCACATTAGATAAGGTTCTGCAAAGGAATTAAATAAGAATCTATCTATATATACATCTGCATATATTCTTTTGATTATCTTTCTTTATTCAATTGTTCACAATAAAATATTTATCAGTGTGCAGGCTGAAGTAAGGATCCGTATTTTTGCAATGTTAATACTCAATAAAATCCTTTCCCAACAATTCTCAATTATCTATATTTCTTCTATTATGAATCCTAAATTGAAGAAAATACAAATTTATAGCAGTGAAAAAACCATAGGAATCAAATGAGTTGAAATCAAAGTAAAATTGAACTTCAATTAAGCACATTACACACTCAGAGAGAGAGAGAGAGAGAGAGCGCACCAATTGGAGAGGGAGGATAGCAAGACAGTGGTAGCAGAGAGTTTGTGCCATTCATATGTTGCAATTTGGGGCATAAGATTCTTTGAATAGTAAGGCAGTGGTAGCATAGAGTTTGTCCATCCTTATGTTGCAATTTGGGGCTTAGGGTTCTTTGAATAGAGTGAAAGAAAAGACTTGAAAATTTAGTGGACAGTGTTGGCGCTTTTTTATTTTGGATATGTTCGCCAAATTCGTCATAGCCATTAACGACCGTATATATTAATATTAATGAGCCGGATATTATTCTTTTGTTATTGTATAATTAAAATGCGTCATTAACGACTGGATATATTTTTGTTCTTTAAAAGTGTACTTATAACGACCGAGTTCACGTCCCTTCGTTAAAAAGTGGTCGTTAAAAGCCAAGTTTCTTATAGTGAATTTGGAAGCAAGCATTGGGGCAAGGTGAGTCTCCTTTATAACCTTTTAAGAGGGAATTATCCCCATAGGAGAAATAATTGAATATGTGCCACTAATTGCGGGGGATATGTATGCACGAGGTGACGATTGTCTATACGTAGCTACTATTATGCTTAAGTCCAGGTAGTCTAGGACCCAAAAGCATGCTTTACTTGTCGTACTTGTAACTTTATTATCAATTTAAATTGTGTAAATCATAGCAAACTTGGAAAATGGATTTCTAAAAAGTTAAACATTATTTTCTTGACCGTTAAATAGAAGTCGACATTACTTTGGGTAATTGCTTTCCTAATGAATTCTTGATTTACTATTTGATTTGTTTATTCCTATTTGATCGCGTCACATGTATGATTCGCAAGCGGGGTAATAGATGCATCTATGGTTCGCGTCGTTCGACCCTCCGGTAGTGCACACTTTACTATTATGTTGGATCGGGTCATACGACCTCGGCATTATTTGCGCATGCTATTTTCTTGGTACTTTCTGTGATTTGAACTGCTTTAAATGCCTTGAAATATAAATTGTTAACTGAAATGTCGGAAACTGAAATATTTTTATGAAAGAACCTGTCACTTCATGTTATTAACTGCTATTTATTCATGACATCCATGTTTAGCGTCACACTTAAATTATATTATTTTCGGCCCTAGTAAGTGTCAAGTTGACCCCTCATCACTATTTCTTCGAGTTTAGACTGGATACATACTGGGTACATATTGTTTATGTACTCATACTACACTTTTGTACTTAATTGTATAGGATATGAAGCAGGTGCATCTAGCTACCCGTCCAGCGCACGTTCTTGATACTTGATCGAGATTTAATAGTGAGTTGCCCCTTCTGAGCCGTTAGCAGCATGCCAGAGTCTCTCTTCTGTTTATTACTGTCTATTCTGTTTCAAGCAGAAAGATAGTTATATTTTGTACATTCTACTAGTTTCCCACACACTTGTGACACTAGATCCTGGCACACACATTAGTAGACTATTATTTTTGGATTGTATTCCTATTACTACGATTCCTTTTATTCTTTACCGATTCAGTTGCCTTCGTTAATTATCGACTTTTATAAATTTAAATTAAGTAAATGTTGGTATTGTTTAATAAAATAGAATGAGAACTCACTAGTTGATTAGTGTTAAGCGCCATCACGACCTGTAATAGAGTTTGGGTCGTGACAATATGGTATTAGAGCATTAGGTTCACGTAGGTCTCACAAGTCATGGGCAAACCTAATAGAGTCTTGCGGATTGGTACGGAGACGTCTATACTTATCTTCGAGAGGCTATAAGATGTTAGAAAACTATTCTTTATTCATCTTTTATCGTGCAGTTGATGGTATACTAAGTTTCCTTCTTCTATTCTCTCACAGATGGTGAGAACGCAAACGGCTGACGTTCCAAACTCGGGAGGAGCTGCTCCCCCCATTAGGCTCCTGGTCATGCAACTGAAGTCTATCAGACTCTGGGTGCACTACCCACGGATGGGGCCTAGCCAGTTGCCACAGTGGTACCCAAGCCCAGACCAGCTACGGACGGTGATCCACATAAGTTATTGGACAGATGGACTAGGCTACACCCTCTTATCTTCGGAGGCGAGCGTTATGAGGATTCCCAGGATTTCATTGATAGGTGCAAGGACAGACTGCACAACATGAGGATAATGGAGTCTTATAGGGTTGACTTCACTACTTTCCAGCTGGAGGTTAGGGCCCGTAGATGGTGGCAGTCTTATGTTCTTGGCAGGCCAGTGGGTTCTCCTCCCATTACTTGGGGCCAGTTCACACAGCTTTTCTTGGATAGGTATATTCCACCCTTTGAGAGGGAAAAGTTGTGGTATCAGTTTGAGCATGCTCGAACGAGGGGCCAGCCTATCAGGCCCCCATATTTAGCACCCCCACCACCTCCTCGAGGTGCTTTAGTGAGGCTTTATTTCAGTGCGACGCCGGAGAGTTCTTACTACCGCCAACTATTCAGTGTTCCTCCGGTGGGTATTCTGGTCATCAGGGTTCTTCTAGTGCTTATTTCAGTGTCATGCCAGAGAGTTCATACCGCCCATCAACCATTCATGGTTCCTCTAGTGGGTATTCAGGCCATCAGGGCCAGACTTCAAGGCAGCAGAATATGGTGCCGAGAGGTTGTTACAAGTGTGGATCTGCCCCAGATTTCAGGGCAAGGCCGTGTAGTAGGGCTAGTATCCCATGATTACAGCATTAGTTATCGGGCCACCCATAGGCAGAGAACAGACTGGTAGAGGCCGTCTAAGAGATGGAGGCCAAATAGGGGGAGGTCAGCCAGCTATTGTTTAGTGAGGTGGAGGCCAGTCGGTGCTCCAGCCAGATTCTATGCTTTTCCGGCGAAGTAGATACATTGGCCTCAGATGCCATTATCACAGGTATTATTTTCGTCTGCGGTAGGGATGCTTCAGTACTATTTGATCCAGGGTCTACTAATTCATATGTTTCATCTATGTTTGCTCATTTCCTAGATATTCCTCGTGAGTCTTTGTGTACTCATGTTCACGTGTCCACTCCTGTGGGTGATTCCGTAGTTGTGGATCAAGTTTACCGGTCCCGTGTGGTCACATTCTGTGCTTTTTGAGACTATAACACATCTCATGTTGTTTGATATGACCTACTTTAATGTCATCCTGGGCATGGACTGGTTATCCCTATATCATGTCATCCTAGATTGCCATGCCAAGACTGTTACTTTAGCGATGCTAGAGTTTTAAAGGTTGGAGTGGATGGGTTCCTCAGTCATCTAGTTGGGTTATTTCTTTTCAGAAGGCTCAGCATATGGTCGAGAAGGGTTGTTTGGCTTATCTAGCTTATGTTCGGGACACCATCGTAGAGTTTCTGATGATTGATTCAGTTCCAGTAGTCTGGGAGTTCACCGATGTGTTTCCTTCTGACCTTCCAGTCATGCTACTGGATCGTGATGTTGATTTTTGCATTGATTTGGCTCCAGGTACCCAGCCTATATCTATCGCACCGTACCGTATGGCTTCGAAAGTATTGAAGGAGCAGCTTGAGGAGTTGTTAGCAAAGGGGTTTTTGAGACCGAGTGTGTCACCTTGGGGTGCACCAGTGTTGTTTATGAGGAAGAAGGATGGGACTATGCAGATATGCATTGATTATCGCCAGTTGAACAAGGTTACCGTCAAGAATAAGTAACCATTACCACGCATTGATGATTTGTTCGACCAGTTGTAGGGTGCTAGGGTGTTCTCTAAGATAGACTTGACATCAGGGTATCATCAACTAAGATTCGGGACTCATATGTCCCAAAGACTACTTTCCATACTAGATATGGCCATTATGAGTTTTTGGTAATGTCCTTTGGCTTGACTAATGCCCCATCAGCGTTTATGGACTTGATGAACAGGGTGTTCATGATTTATATTAATTCCTTTGTTATTGTCTTCATTGATGACATCTTGATCTACTCACGTAGCCTGGGGGAGCACGAGCAACATTTGAGAGTAGTGCTTCAGACATTGCGAGAGCAGAAGCTATATGCTAAGTTCTCCAAGTGTGAGTTTTGGATAGAATTAGTAGCATTCTTGGGGCATGTGGTATCAGGAGAGGGTATTAATGTAGATCCCAGGAAGATTGGGGCAGTTAAGAGTTGGCCACATCTTACTTCAGTGACTGAGATCAAGAGTTTTCTAGGATTAGCAAGTTATTATCACTGATTCGTGCAGGGCTTTTCATCTATTGCAGCACCTTTGACTAGATTGACCTAGAAGGGTGCTCCTTTCTGTTGGTCCAATGATTTTGAAGCGAGCTTTCAGAAGCTCAAGACAGCCTTAACTACAATATTAGTTCTAGTGTTGCCATCCGGTTTGGGGATGTATACGGTATATTGCGATGCTTCATGCATTGGCTTGGGTTGTGTATTGATGTAGGAGGGGCGAGTTATTGCATACGTTTCATGTCAGCTGAAGATTCATGAGAAGAATTACCCTGTGTATGACCTAGAGTTAACCGCGATTGTTCATACTCTTAAGATATGGAGGCATTATCTATATGGGGTGTCATGTGAGGTTTATACGGATCTCAATTTGAGGCAACGTAGATGGCTTGAGTTACTGAAGGATTATGACATCATCATTCTTTATCATCAGGGCATGGCTAATATGGTTGTGGATGCCTTAAGCAGGAAAGAAGAGAGCATAGGTAGCTTGGCATTCATTTCAGCAGAGGAGAGGCCACTAGCTTTGGACATTCAGTCCTTGGCTAACCGACTTGTGAGGTTGGATATTTCAGAGCCCGGTCGAGTCTTGGCATGCGTTGCTGCCCAGTCTTCATTATTGAGATAGATTATGGCTCGACAGTTCGATGATCCACATTTGGCAGTTCTGAGAGAGACGGTACTACAGGGCAGTGCCTAGGAGGTTTCTATTGGCGAGAATGGTGTTCTGCGACTCTAGGGTTGTCTATGTGTTCCTAATGTCGATAGCTTGAGGGAGAGGATTCTAGAGGAGGCACACAGTTCACAATATTTTATTCATCCAGGTGCTACGAAGATGTATGGTGACCTGTGGCAGCATTATTGGTGGCGACGGATGAAGAAAGACATAGTTGAATATGTAGTTAGGTGCTTGAATTGCTAGCAGGTTATGTATGAGCATTAGAGGCCAGGTGGCCTACTTTAGCAGATGTCTATACCTGAGAGGAAATGGGAGTGCATTACTATGAACTTTGTAGTTGGTTTGACACGGACCTTGCGGAAGTTTGATGTAGT